AACTCCATGCCGTTGACATATTGCTGTGTCAATCCCATAATTACGAACAACTGATAAAAAATCGATGGAGCAGTTTTAAAGGTTCCATCCACGTACCAAATGCGACTTCTGACCAAGTCACTTAAATTTTCTTTCGTCGAAAATACAATTATTCTATCGGTTGCTGCTGCGTTTTCATCCTCGAAAGAATCATAAATTAAAAACGGTTCACCCACCTTCGTTTTTCTAAACTGATCCGGAATGTCTAATAATTCCTCAAGAGTTCGAGGATTAGCGGGCACATTTTTCTTCCGCTCCCGTTGAATTATTTGTTTGACATTTTCGCGGTCAGGTAGCTCAGCTAGTACAGGTAATGGTACGTCTTGCAGGAGTCGCATAATTTGCGCAGGAGGTGCCTTGGGGTGCTCAGCAGCGCGTCTTTTAATACCTGAAATTACATTGATAGCTCCAACTGCTTCTCTATTTGGTGCATGAGTATGATCCGCTAGATTTCCTCTTTTAAGTCGAAGAGTATCGCCGTCACCAACAGTGATAGCTCGCGCAGAGCAGGCATCTTTCAGCTTGCACCTCCAATACCTAACTGAATTTTTCCCATTTGAATGTCTATAATATAAATAGCCATCGATGTGCAAGTATAATGCTGTGCCACTTTTAATAATTTCCACTTCTTCACTCATAATTTTTATGATAAAAATACTACAAAATAAAAATACTATAAAATAGGAGAGACGCAACTGCTGTAAGGCACATATAATAATAAAACAACAAACAGTTACTATGGAGATGGATATATACTTATGAATGGACAAAAGTAGATGTATGCATCGTATATTGCGTCATCGTATTAGTATTTAAAAAAAATAGTTTGGAAATAATGATATTGGAACAATTAATTATGTGGAAAAATTTATTTCGGAAAAATTAATTGTTCGGGGAAAAAAGTCTTGGAACAATTATTTTGGAACTTTTGATGCCAAATTATATCCTTTGAAATGCAACCTTCGCAAAGCGTTAGAAAAATTAGATTGCATAATGACAATGAACTGAAAGCACAGTCTAATGGGATTCACTAGAATCGCACTCGAAAATAGCAATGGAATCGTATGCAGACCAATCAAGACTAAACCAACCTTTCTTTTGGTTACTATGGATACCAAATAGTAAGTATGGATGTATATATTTGAAAATTTTCACTACCCTCAAATGTTTAAAAATAATATATTTACTTTACTTATTTCTATACTACTTTACATAATGTTTTGAGGATTATTTGCTGATCCAAAAAACCCTTGAATATGTATCCTATTGTGTTACTCGACGAGATACAAGAATTACTAATCTCATTTTTTCGGATAATTGAAACCATTGAAAGATCCAACTACTATGAAAAAGCTGATCAAAAAATGCATTAAAACTATTTTTTAATTTTTTTCGAACCGCATTACAATTCTATTTGTGCCAGTTACGTTGATGAAAATAGAGAAAATTGGGTCAAGCATACTGCTACAAGAGCAAGTCAATCCACCGCAGCCCCCGCCCTGTCATCTGCCACGCGCCCACGGCCTGCTGTCTAACCACCAGGTAGCCATAGAAAACTCAAAATGGCACCGAGCCCTCGAAGCTTGGCTAGCAGCAATGGATGCGACTGATATGCACGGGACATTAAAGAACCTTGGAAAGTTCAGGCAGTATGTCGATCGGACGAATGTCTGACGGCGAACTTACATTTTGACTCTTGGCGAATGATCGAAGCCGAGTTTTTTCCAGCAATCAGAAAAAACCGCGTAACAAATAGACTGATTAATACAATTAGTCAAAAGCACAAGAAAGTCGAGCCTGATCATCTCGACAGATATAACATCGACTCCTGCGGCCGCCCAACTGACCCAGCTTCATGAACCTCGAGCTATCAATATTCACGGACGAGAACAACGAGACGAGACACTTGCAGTGCATTATAATCATTTTTGGCCTGGCCGTTATGAGATTTTTGCGATTCTCGGTCGGCCACGACATCAGTAGGTTCATCAAAATCGCCTTGCGATATTATATAAACTATTACGTCGAAGCATAAAAAGACGTATATCAGTCGATAACGAAAATCGTCGAAAACTTTTATCTAACAGTTAAGGCCGGACGATCAAAAAAACTTTTGCAATAACATCCCGGAAAATAAAACTTTATTATTTGGATGGAAGTGCATGCATAACTCAAAATGAGAGAAAGAAAGTGATACAAATGCTCAGCAAACCCAAGCGCTATAGGCTCGTTTGTACGTGTGTCGAAAACGTAAAACAATTTGTTTTTTTTATAAATTTCTAAAGTTTGTATAGTAACATCTGCGATCGTCTTCCTTTACCATATCAGCTCAAAAGTGCAGCCTCGAGGCTTGCTTGAAATTGATCAAGAAACACGTGCATATTTGTTCAGAATTTTTTGGAAAGATTTTTTGATTTGTACGAGAGGCTATAAGAATTATTATTATGATAATAATTTTATATTATGGCTGTGTGTACTGATAACTTTGATCTTTGTAACATTTCGTGGTAATGAATGTACGATTTGAGATCTCTATTTCGAACGATTGTGTGCTTGTAAATAAAAAAAAAATTGAAATTCACATTGGTCATTTATTCATTTAAAATTAAATGTGGACAATTACATTTACTTTCTCATTTAAAATTTAAAACTACTATTTTCATATTATCTATTTATTTACTTTCACATTTAAAATTAAATGTGGACAATTAAATGTGTACAATATTACATTGTGTCAGACTTTAAAAATACAGCAAGTTTGCCCATCGCCATTACGAGCTCTCTCCCGCGGCCGCCAGACACAATTGATACAAATCCTTGTTGGTCAGATTGTCGACGATCGTTACGCAGCAAATCTCCGCGAATTTTTTTAAAAGGTGCCTCAAAAGTATCGCGCCCAGCCTCGCATCGAGCTTCTCGAGAGCATCTCCGCTTAAATTATCGTACAACATGCGCGTCTGCAAAAAGTCCTTGTATCCGTAATGCTCGCACGCTTCGTCGAGTGATAACTTCATGAGGTCCTGGAGCGTTCGATTATTATTTACCTTCACTTTTTTCAATTTAGTCGCGACCTCTTCGTCGTCGTACCATGGTTGTTGATCGTCGAGATCCACCGACAACTCGTACAATCCGCACTCGGCAAATAATCTCATCATTGTCAAGACGTCGCTTCGAACGAACTTGTACTTTTTCCAGTTCAGACGTCGGACGACAGCGAAGGCGTCGACTATCGCCTCGAATTTCAGCCGATTTCTTTGATGTCCGTTGTAAGCATGCACAAACGAACTACGAACTACATCATGTACTTCTACAGGTCTTACGCGTCCAAACGATTCCACGAACTCGCCGAAGTCAGTCGGGAAAACGAAGCCGGACAGATCGGCATCGATTTGCAAAAGTCTACCGACCGCCTGCGGCAAGAGATTCTCCACGGCCAGTTGTAGCGCGGTCCGGCCCTTCTTGTCGCGGGCATCGAGCCGCAGCGTCTTTTCCGTTTGGCCGACGATCACGAAGAACAACTCGACCAGACTTTGGTTTTGGGGGAGGAGATCGCGGTAATGATCGCGGTGTCTCCTGCAGATGAGGTGCAGAGGAGTCAGTCCTTCCTCGTTGGCCAGGTTCGGATCGGCATCGCTCATCAGAAGAAACTCGGTCATCTTCTTCTGGCTACGGAGTATGGCCAGGTGCAACGGCGCGTTACCCAACTCGTCCTGGGTATCTATTGGCACCGGCTCGTTTAATTTGCCATTGATGTGGAGGAACATCTCCACCAAGCCGACATTAAATGTTTCCGTCGTATCGCTTAAATTGCTCTGCCCGAGGCGTAACTTTCCCGAGCCGAGCTCAATATTCCTATATTCATCCTTGCAGATTATGTGCAGGGGCGACGAATCGGCGCGTCTTGGCAACACCAATTCGGTCAACACCTCAAACTCACGGATACCATTATAATAATTGCCTCTGTCGATTATGTATTTCACGCAATCCGAGACAAAACGCTCTGTTTCTCCAGGCCGGAACATCTCCCGGAGTTTAGGGAGTTGTTTCTCCCAATGATTGATCAAAGACTTGAATTGGTAGAGAAAGAATTCTCCGTCTTTTTCGGTACTCCAATCGACATTTTCCAGTACACGATTCAATCTTTCTTTTTCTTCAGTCTTCCAATCGGCATCTTCTTGTGCTTTCTTTGATTTTTTTGAATCAGATTGGCCATCGAGACTGATATCGAATTGGTTGGCGGGAGACGCTTTGCGCCGACGAGCAGGAGGCATTTTTCACTATCTTTACGAAATTCACTTGCTACGATCGACCCGATCTTTCGTGCTTTGTTTAGATCTCGGCAACGTAACGCGTACTGACTATACCACGATCTACGCAGAGATGAGTAAGCAACGCGGGAAAATTAATAATAATGTGTACAGTAAAATAACATTAAGAAAGCGTACGTCCAGCTTGATAGAGGCCAAAGTGTTATTATTGTTAATACATCGATTAAAACTTTAATTGAATTTATAAAATCCTAATTTCGAAAGTTTCAAATTAGACACTAACTTTTTTTTTAATTGCAATGCGCTGGAATGAGAAATTAAATTTTTTTTTAATTTCAAACTGCCAGAATTAGATAATCAAATTAAATGTTTTTTTTACATGTGTTTACATTTATGCCCCTTTTTAAAGCATAATACGTCGTTTCTTCATAGAAGCGAAAAACTCGGCCGCAGTCCTATTTATTCTTTCATTTCTGATATACTTGTTGTTTCGCCCAAAATACGAGTTATTAACAAGAATTAGTCAATAAGACGCGAAAAACTAGAAAGTACTACCAATGTATATCCTTAGGCGATTCGGCTTAAAAAGTCGAAATTCAGAATCAAAAATGTAATATGACAACCTTGCATGCATTGTCAGAGTCTCTTACGCATACACCTCGAGCAGACGTCAAATAAAACTTCTTTATTTACCTTATGACCCTGTGGAATTGAGGACGCTGTGCAGCGCCCCCAAACAGCCAATTTGATACACATACAACTGATTACAGAAAGCAGACGAGTGACTTGCCTACGATAGTAACAACAAATCTTCTCTTGTTCACGGGGACAAGTGGTGACAAGTCATTATTCCGAGGTCTAGTGTTTAAAATCAAATTTGTTATCATCAATTGCACTGTTCATAGTGGGTGAGAGACGTTGTAAGTGACCCGGCTCTTTGAAAAAGACGTTACGTGTGTAATCGAACGAAACGTATAGACGAAAAGTAAACAAACGAATGACACGTCTCCATCTGCTGACTTATTGACCAGCACTTCATCAATTCAATCTTCGATCTAATTCATATTTTCTTTTTTGCGCCTATGAGATTTGTATATAATCGTCTTACCCACGACTCGATAAAAAAAATCCATACGCGTATGCGTGAGCGACGCATAGATTCTGAGATTCAGTATAAACTAACCAAGTGAGGCCAAGACGCCGGACCTGATTTATTGACCAGCATTTTAAGTGAGTGTAATAATTTCCATATAATCCTATTTTTTGAGTAGGGGTTACATTTCCTTAAACAACTACATAATGATTTCGAATATTTCCATATCAAATTGTAAAGATTAATGTTTCCCAACTAGTTTTGTTTTGTTACAAGAGTAATTTTAATCAAACGGGCATAAATTGTTAACATATGTTTTTTATTTTGATAAACAAATGGAGTAGTGTAAATTGCAAATGTCAAAGACTTTTTTGGTTTTTTACACCGAACTTTTGGAAAAACTTAATTTCTAATTTTTAACTCGAAATCCAGTCCTGAATTTTCACTTATTCGCCTTTTTCCTATATCGCGTCATATCTCGCTTAACATAAACAATAGTATTTTTTAGATTCACAACGATGGAATGTCGACCTCTTCAAAACAATGAGACTGAAATTACAGAAAATTACATTCACCGAGATAAAGAAGATGACCAATTAGAAGTAAGATTTCTTTCACGTGTGGAATGGGAAGAGTACAAAAAAATACAAGAAGTGTTTCTAACATTTTCAAATGCAAAGTAAGTATAGAAGTTTTATGTAAAGAATATTAAACATATTTTTTAGTTTCCATAATTTATGTATTTTTATTTTATTCAAGACCCATAAATAAATCTAATCTGCGGAAATCCCTTTTTAATATTGCCGCTAACTTGATGAGGCTTCTCGCGATTCTAGAAGATACTCAAAATCAGGAAACTACAGGTTGTAGTCCAAAAATAAGAGCAAATCATGGATGTGATGAATATGATAAGGACCAAAATATTCCGAAAAAAATAAATCGGCATCTTGGGCAGAAAAATGATGGTAAGTAAAACATTTATTCATAGTGATATTCATAATAGCCTTCAAAATGAATGATTTAACGTAGCTAATTATTATCTTTGAAGAATATGATCAAATACCGGGAGTAACAATTAAAAGAATTAGCAGAAATAACAAGCCTGGATATGTCGCTTATACAGATAAATCACTTCATGATATAGATAAATCATTTCATGAAAATGACGAATGTAGAATTAATGAAAAGAAATTAGACTCTGCAAGTTCACAATATATCCCACTCCTGCAAGAATATGCCGTAAGTTTATTTTACGTTTGCGATTAAATTATAGCTGAAAATGTGTGAATGACTTTTATTTTCTTTCAGGCTAAAATGCTTCCACAGAAAGATGAAATTTGTGATAATCAATTGAATAATGAGACTGAAATAGTGTTTGAATGTAAAAATGTAAAATCTACCATAACTTCGTTTGCACCGCACAAATTGGACTCTTTGTCCCAAAATCCGATGCAAGATTCAAAAATTAGCGAAGCAACTCAGGCTATGATAAAAGTTGAACGATCAGACATAGTGAAAAGAGAATACTTGGACGATAATATAGAAAAATACGATATAGATAATGAACTATATGACAGCTGCGAACCCAACGCTAAGAACGAAAAAATGTCGCTTCAAAAATGTCTAAGCGCGATCAAAAAATCTAAAAAACTAAAGGGATGTTCAAAAATGATTGAAAAGAAAAGTTATCTCAAAGTTCATAAGTGCACGGCACACGATCGCATTACCCACTCAAGTGAAATTTGTGGCAAGAAATTCAAGCAGAAGCACAAACTCAAAATCCATACTGATGTAGCGCATAATCGTCGAAAACTTTACCTATGTGATACATGCGGAAAGGCATTTGCACGTAAAAATAAGCTGGACCGTCATATTAATTCTGTGCATGATGGAATTACCCACGCATGTGACTCATGTGGAAAGATATTCAAACGTAAGTCCAGTCTCAAAAACCACATAGATTTTGTGCACAAAAATCTCAAGCATCATAAGTGTGATCGATGCCAAAAATCATTCAGTAACAAAACAGGTCTCAATCTGCACATGAGTACGGTGCATAATGGGATAACTTATACATGCGATTTATGTGAAAAAATATTCAAACAGAAGAGTTATCTAAGGGTCCACATCGATATAGTGCACATGAATAATAGAAAACTTTTCAAATGTGACGAATGTCAAAAATCGTTCGACTACAAAAGTAATCTCACTTCTCATATTGAGTATGCGCATAAAGGTATAACTCACGTATGCGATTCGTGTAAAAAAGTATTTAGACATAAAAAGGATCTCAAACTACACGAAGATTCGGTGCATAATGGTATAACTTACCCATGCGATCAATGTGAAAAATCATTCAAACGAAAAACCAACCTCAAACTCCACATGAACGAAGCACACAATGGTAAAAAATAAAATATGTCGTCCTTACGTAGACTTTAAACTGCAGGTGGGCGAAATTATGCATAAGAATTTTCAAATCACAAAAATCAAAACGTGTGAAAAAGTATTTAGACATAAAAAGAATCTCAAATTACACAAAGATTCTGTGCATAAAGGTATCGCTCACCCATACACTTTGTACGAAAAAGTATTTCGAAAAAAATTGGGTATCAAATTACACAAAGATTCTGTGCATATCGCACTTGTGCGTGTAAAAAGTATTTACACAAAAGGGCAGTCTCAAATAACACAAAGATTCCGTGAATAATGGTATCACGCGCCAATGCTCCACATAAATGAAGTGCACAATGGTAAAAAACCAAACACGTATTAAAATTTTTCATGTATTTTACACTGCGTGTGAGAGCAACACATAAAAATAATTTTTTATGTAAATTTGATGTATTTAGATGTATTAATTTTACTACGGGCTTTTGTTACACAGAATCTGACGAAATTTCAAAAACCATTTTAATTATATTAAGAATGAAAATGATAACGAATATGTTAAGTATTGAGTGTACCAAAAGACAATGAAATCAACGTATTCGCTGAAATAAAACTTGACGATGAGACGTACATCTCATTGAAAAAATCCTACAGATAATTTTTCTACTCCGAATTTCTATATATTACAGAGTTTTTCAACATGTGTTAATTATTTTATCAATTTCATTATATCATAATCACTCACATTTACATTGAAATATTTTAATATATACGCCCATTATGTTAATTTTAAGCAACATTGTTTATAATTTATGAAATTCTTTCAATTTTGTTTCAATAAATCTGAAAAAATTTATATGTATTCTATAACTAACTCTAAGTCTTTTGTTTGTGGCATTTTTACGTTTCAGAACGTTCCTCATCGAGTTATAAAATCACTAGGATTCAAAGTGTGACAATTTCTTAATAATTTCGAACGCAAAATACTACTTTATGTCATCTCGATATTTCATCTTAATCGAAACGATCCAGAGAACGAAAAGTTCTTGGAATTGGTCAAAGATTGAGTGTACATTTTTTCATATTCTTTAAAACAAATTTATGAATTACTAACACTGAAATCATTAATACTTTTTTTATACTCATTTTGGAAAAAACCATTTTTATATTCGGATTTAACCGGACCAAATGTTTGTTCGTACGGACATCAATCGTCCACGAAAATCCCCTCAGCGTTAGGACTAATCGTGTGACGCGCTGTCTACCGGTTCCACTGCAGTAAGCGACGAGTCTATCAATGTACACGCCATTGACTGACACTGGAGTTAAATTATTCCATGTCAATGAATAAATAGTTGAGAATGATATAATTTTTGCATCGCAATACATGATTTGACAGATAGATCCTCTTTTTATTTTGTATAAGTGTGGCCTGAAAGTATCAAATCGTCCGCTGCTGTTAGTTTAGCATATAGAGCTCTTCAGTAGGGGAAGGTAGGGCATGTGTGTTAATTTTTTTTATTCATTGAATAACTTTGTAAATACGAGGAATGGAAAGTTCAACAATGGATCAATTTAAAGGGTATCTGTCGAGGAATAAAAGAATCTATCATGAATCTCAGTTTTTTTCACTGTTTTTTAACGAAAGGTATGATACGCAAGGTATCTAAAATTAACACGCATACCCTACTAGTGGATAGCTGTGGCATCGCGACAGGGCATGCGTAGCACACGCAAGTTGACATCTGTCGTGTGCAGCTACATGTTATTTGAGGTTATGGGTGTAACTTGTTTACAATTTGCGTGGCCTGTCAAAGAAGTTTGTGATTCAAGACTTTCAAGTTTTAACGTTACAAATTGCATGAGAATGATATTTATAATGAGTTTGTTATAATGAATGTAAAATAAAAAGGATGGAGAAAATAAAAATAACTACTCATTATTATTTGAAGTTTATTTTGATTAAGCAAATATAATAGGAATAGAATCAAAATCTACATTAGCATTATTTATTTTCATAGGAACTTGAACAGGAACTTGATTCTGGGTCATAATATTCAATGGCTGTGCATTCAAAATTACATTTTGATTGGAAACTGTATTTCCAATATTATTCATAAATGACCCAGGCGATGACAATTGTGCAGGTTGAATATTAAACTTATTATTTGTTTGATTGATAAGATGATTTACAGGTAATCCAACAATTGATTTCACAAGTGGCTTTTCTTTTTTCCTATCAACTTCAGTTTTTTCAACTTTAACTTTTTTAGCTGAAGCTTCTAATAAACTATCTCTATAATTATCATTGGTTTTAATAGCAGATTTTCCTATTTTTCTCTTCTTAGGTTCTCTTTTTGGTGCAGCATTATTTTTTTCAGTAGCAAGATTAACTGCTTGCAGTTGACTAGGTACTATTGACTTATCATATTTTGCAACAATAGTATTTAAACAATTGATGAGAGGTTGAGCCTGTAAAATATATGATACTGGAATCTCCACGACAGGCTCTAACTTGGTTTCTTCAAGTTCTTGTTCAAGTTTCATATTCTGGATGACTGCATCCGCTTGTGTTTGAACTAAACTATTCAACATGTCCTTATACTGAGATATATTTACTCTATTAACTTTGGAAGACGAGTCAACTTGTGACTCTTTACTCATATTCACAGTATCAATATTTTGACTTGAAGAGCATGATTCATTTTGATTCTCAGGCACTCTTTCATTTTGGCTCTCAGGCACTCTTTCATTTTGACTATCAGGCACTTTTTCATTTTGCTTTTGATAGTTAGTTCTACTAACAGCAGCATAATCAATATCAGCAAAAATATCTGGATTTAAAGGCCAAATGCCACATTTTTTGAAGGAATTTACTGCTGTCTCCATTTTTGCTGCTTTCATGAAAGCTGTACCAAAAAGGCCAAATATGTTTTTCATAGTTACTACAGCACCTTTTCTTTGAAAAGCAGTCAACGCTTCTGAGAAGTATGAGCTCAATGGCTTCGTAAACCCTACATCAAGAGGCTGCATTCGGTGAGAGCAGTGGGGTGGGAGACATAAAATGTGCACATGGTTTTCCCTCGCCAAATCAATAACTTCAATATTTTTGTCAAATACAGCCCATGACCCAGGTGGTTTATTTACCAGATATTCAGGGTTCTCTTTTACTCTGGGAAATATTAGGAGTGGAGGCATGAAAACTCCTGTTGCTGACATGCAGATGTCAGCAGAGACAGTCTCACCTCTATCTGCAGCTGTCAATCCACCAACTTGGCGTTTGCCTCTGGATGTCACTATTCTAGATGAGGATTTAGGGCATACAGTAATCCCTGTCTCATCGCAATTGTATATGTTTTTAGGGTCAAACTTGTACTCGTTCATCAAATTTTGTAAAAGTGTAAAAAACTCAGCAACATTTTCCTTATTAAAGCCTTTTGCTCGTGCAGTAGAAGTGTGCTCTGGTTTTCTTAATGAGAGCTTGTGGCGACTCATAAAAGCCCTGAGCCAATCTTTGCCAGCCAAACCTGATTGAAAACAAATAATTCTTTTACATAGATACAAGATGTTCATGTCAACAAAAACCAATATATCAATATATTACCAGTTCGATGATTGAACGGATGAGAAATTTTAAGTTTTTCAGCTCACTGGAAGGCTAATCTTCTAATTTCTGTTGAAGACAGACCCATCAAACGATGTTCCATGTCCAAAATATATTGGACAAAAGCTTCTTCTTGCTCTGCGCTAAAAACTCGTTTGAAACCACCTTGAAAAAAATTAACAATATTTGAGGTTATGACAAATAACTAAATTTTGTATTACATAATTACTGGAAACTATATCGTAAAAAAATTTAATACATACCTTGGTAATCTGTTTTCAAAGGAAAATCATGACAAGCCTCAAGTAATTTTAATTTTTTTGTAGAGTCGATCTTGGTACACCGAACTCTTGTGCACTCGCCAAAATTGATTTGCCATCCTTTATGAAATCAATAGCCTGCTGCATTTGTTCTTCCGTCCAGCTGTTTTTATTAGTCTTCTTTTTATATAAAAAAAAAAACAAATTGGAAAAATTATGTGCGCTTGAACAAAAGTTCTGCGGGTGTTCATGCGCACCGTAATTTTTACCTGATGTACTAAAAAAAATATTTAACTTTTCATAATATTTTTGTTTTCCATTGATGGTTATCAACATTCGCAATAGGTGAATTGTGGTTTAATAGGATAAATCATTTTTTATTATTCATTTATTCAGATGACACGCATGTAAACCTGCCACGCCAAAGGCTACCTTCCCCTATGCGTCGTGACATAGCAGCGAAAAACTCGGCCGCAGTTCTATTTCTTTCTTCATCTTCGATACTCGCTGTTTTGCCAAAATGACGAATTCTTAATGTTAATTAGTCAACGAGATGTAAAAAAATATGAAAAATGTAAGTATAAAATTATAGCAAAGCTAATAATATTTTGTTCCCATGAGTTGGTATCACTCCTTCGTGCCCGTGTATAAGCATAGGCGCCCCCCTCGCCCCGCCTGCCCCTTGAAAGTGCTATCGAACCTCCTTAAGTACTTCTATATCGATATAGAAAATAACAAAAAATTTTTATAATGTGAAAAATCCTCTACAAAATGGGCCCTAAGGCCCATTGGATCAAACTAAGCACTGGGAGCTTCAATATTGAGTACTAGAAGACCCCCAAAAAAGTTTGGTAAAGATCTGTGACTCCGACCTGAAAAGCTCTCCTTGTGAGTAAAGAAAAAGAAATTATCGTTGCTGCTGTTGACGTCTTGAATTTATTATTTTATCGCGTTTCCACTGAGATTTTATATTTTCGAATTTCACAGTGAATGGCGATTCATACTTTCAACTATACACCGCGTGGGCTTTTACCTTCAGTGTCCAAGAGGTTGACGTCGTATTTGCCCCGTAACAGCGCCTCGACGATCTTAAGCTTTGTATCCTCGTCGTTCAGCTCAATTCTAAATTCGCTTCTATCGTTCTTGCATACGAGATTTAATACCGAGCGATATTTTTCAAATCGCGTAAGTTTTCTTTGGCCTTCCGGCGCAAGAGATGCCGTACTCATTCAACTTGTATCAATAAAAACATTAATCCTTTCGATATTACCAGTTCGGTGGAGGCTATGTAGAACAGCAATAATCCCTTATCAACAGATATTTTAGGACGAACGACAACGATTTCGATTTGTATTGCCAATTGTTCAGGTTTTTACGCGGGCAGCATGCAGCGGCCGCACGGCACTTATAGGCGAAATTACTTAACTTCTATCTCGCTGAAAAACCCCCTAAACGCACTTAAAAAAAATATGTGACATATGATTTCGATTGGAAATTTCCTCAGCTTTCCGATGGCGAAGTCAGATTTTCAAAAATTTTCCATTTTCCACGGAAAATTGTAAAAATAAACTTTTAACATTAAATATCTCAAAAAACGCATTTTTAAAATTTTTCAAAGTAGTCTCAATCGAAAGCTGAGGAAATTTCCCATCGAAATATATATTTTTCAGAGAGAACATTTTATTTTTACTAGCTGAAATACAGCGATGAACGTGTAAAAACGCGACATTTCGGCTCGCGTGGCTCAGAATCTCACGTTTTTAGACTTGTTTATTGAGCATTCGGTGTTGTAAAACGAGTTGTTTTTTTTTCAAAATGATCAATACCTTCTTGGCCATCTAAAAAATAGTTTTTTTTTCATTTCTTAAGTCTAATTCGTTTGCATAATGCTTTTTTTTGTGACATTGT